AATTCTTGAAAGTTCAGTGTGTAATAAAACTATACTATAAATATTTGGAGTTTACATGTAAAATGGAGTTATTTCTAGGCCGAGAACTTCAAGTTTTTGTCTACAAGGATGCCTAGATGGATATTTCAAAATCATGTGGGATGTAGAACAATTCTGCTTTGTATGGGATTACCCCTGTAATTACAGGATGTCTAATATACCTGGCCTCTACCCACTAAATGCAAGTGGCTCTCCCCAATTTTTTTTTTTTCTTTTGAGACAGAGTCTCACTTTGTTGCCCAGGCTAGAGTGAGTGCCATGGCGTCAGCCTCGCTCACAGCAACCTCAATCTCCTGGGCTCAAGCAATCCTCCTGCCTCAGCCTCCCGAGTAGCTGGGACTACAGGCATGTGCCACCATGCCGGGCCAATTTTTTGTATATATATTTTTAGTTGGTCAATTAATTTCTTTCTATTTTTGGTAGAGACAGGGTCTCCTCAGGCTGGTTTCGAACTCCTGACCTTGAGCAATCCGCCGCCTCGGCCTCCCAAAGTGCTAGGATTACAGGCGTGAGCCACCGCGCCCGGCCACCCCAATTATTTTGACAACAGAAAATTGCTCCAGAAATATCCCAAATGCCCACTGGGGGCAGTGCCATTCTGTTGAGAACCACTGGTCTCTATAATCTGTTCCTGCCTTGCCAATCTTACCTCTGCTTTAGTTTGGATCTTTGTCATCTCTCACTTGGAATTCCCAACTATTCTCTGTTCTCAGTCTTCTCTGCCTGTAAGACACTCTTTAAACAGATAACAACTGTGATGTTTCTAAAAGGCACTTGTGGGCTGGGTGCGGTGGCTCACGCCTGTAATCCTAGCACTCTGGGAGACTGTGGGGGGCAGATTGTTCCAGGTCAGGAGTAGGAAACCAGCCTGAGCAAGAGCAAGACCGGTCTCTACTATAAATAGAAAGAACTTAATTGGCCAACTAATATATGTAGAAAAAATTAGCCAGGCATGGTGGCGCATGCCTGTAGTCCCAGCTACTCGGGAGGCTGAGGCAGTAGGATTGCTTGAGCCCAGGAGTTGGAGGTTGCTGTGAGCTAGGCTGATTGATGCCATGGTACTCACTCTAGCCTGGGCAACAAAGCGAGACTCTGTCTCAAAAATAAAATAAAATAAAATAAAATGCACTTGTGACCATGTCACTCCTAAACCTTGCCTAAAACCTTCATTGGCTCCCCATCACTAAAGGATAAGACAAACTTTTTAGATTGGAGGTTAGTAATTTGATCCCCCCATATTTCAAATCTGACCTTGGACCACTTCCTCCACTGTATACTGTGTGTTCTTCCCTATGTGGTCTCTAGAACTAAACAAATACTGTTTTGTTTTGTTTTAACCAACTGGGCAATCTTTTGACTGTCAAGTTCTTACTAATATAGTCATCCCTCAATATCTGTGGGGGATTGGTTCCAGGAGCCCGGTGGATACTGAACTCTACAGATGTTCAAGTCTCTTATACAAAACGGCATGGTATTTGCATATAACCTATGTGCATCCTCCCATATACTTTAAATCGTGTCTAGATTATTACATACCTAATGCACTGTAAATGCTATATAAAAAAGCTATTTTACTACATATTTTATTTGTATCATTTTTATTGTCATATTGTTATTTTTTTTATTGGTTTGTTTCCAAATATTTTCAACCTGCAGTTGGTTGAATCTACGGGTGTGGAACCTGAGGATATGGACTAACTGTCCTTCAAAATGCAACTCAGGCTTTGCTGCCCCAGTGAACCTTTCTGACAACCACCCCACTCTGTCTCAGTGTTGGCACCTACCATATGCTTTGTAACTGTTAGTCTGTTCTCCCATTAGACTGCAAGTTATCTGAGGGCAAGGATTTTTATCCTATCTATCTTTGTATCCCACGTGCTTCAAATGGTGGATGACATACAGTGAAGTCTTGAAAAGGGTTTATGGAATTCAAGTTGAGTGATCCTGTAACATTAGCTATTTGGAGAGTTCTACAGATGACTGTGTACAGTCATCCCTCAGTATTCTCAGGGGATTGGTTCCAAGATTCCCGTGGATACCAAAATCCAAGGATGCTCAAGTCCCCTTATGTAAAATGGCTTTTTATACTACCTTATTCTTTGCCTAATTAGGATTTAGCAGCAATATTTCAATCATTTACTAATGGGTCTCCTTGGGGTCAGAAGAAAAATGGTTCCTATAGAAACAATCTTCTAAATAAATGATAGTACAGAGACATTTTCCTGGAGGCTACAAAATGACCTATTGAAATACACTAAATTGGTTCTTCTCTGTCAGGAGATTCAGATCATTCCTTTATTTCATTTTGAAATAGAAGCATAATCGGGGGAAAAATGTGCTCTGAAATTCTCTGCCATGCTTTACAGCATGTAAATAGCATCAAGCACAAAAAAATTTCAAGCTGTCAAGAGTAAAGAAAGTATGATAATTTGGGATAATTAAATGCCTAAGACAATCAAAATAGAACTGATCCTAGTAAGCTTTTCTCACTTGAAGGAAACTTCTTAAAAATGTAGTTACTGATCTCAATGTCTTTCAATAGGACTGTTAAAAAATTGTGATATAACAATCCACAGTTTGGAATGTTTTGCAATCTTTAAAAAGGAAGAAAGCATACCTATATGTATGGACATGGAAGGATGTATGGTTGTTTTAAAAAAATAAAAATTGTGAATAATTCATATACTATGATCCCATTCATATAAAAATAGCAGAAATAGAAGCAAAATATGTACAAAGAGAGAGGGCACTGAGAAGATGCACATACCAAACTGTATTTAATTTTGCATTGAAAGCTTTTGCTTCTGTTTTTATTTCTTCTACCAGATTATACATTGCTTTCTTGCCAGATCAAATATAGGACACTCAATTAAATTTGAATTTCAACTGTAAACAACAATTTTTTAAGTGTATTTTCCAAATGTTACATGGGACATCCTTATACTAAAAGAATTATTCATTGTTTATCTGTAATTCAAATTTAACTGGGTGCCTCATATTTTTATTTGCCAAATCTGGCAAGTACTTTAGGGAGACCTTAAATTATTCATCCTTGTAATCCTATCAATAATATAGTTACAGAGATATAACGGGTCACAAGAAATGGCAGGAGGGAGAGTAATTAAGAAGAGAACAATAGTAACAGGTGACTTTGCTAAGTGTGTTATACACATCATCTCAATTCTCATGGAAATGCTTTGACATTTTATGAGTGGTCCTATTTTACAGATTAAGAAACAAAAGTATACAGAAGACACACAGCTAGCAAACGTTGGCACTAGAAATGACCCTAAGTTTCTGGGTCCCTTTCCAGCAGCTATAACCAATTTCCAGCTGCAGGAGAGTAGAAAGGGATGAGAAGTAAAAAGCGAAAGAACAAGGGGTGAGGCTTCCATTCTGCCTAAATGGAACAGAGCAGAACATTGCACAAACCCCTTAATCTCGCCTAGAGGCAGAATGTGTGATGTACTGTATGGGAGGCAGGCAAATCTGGACCTAGTTCCCACTTCCATCACTCATTTGAGCAAGTTATATAATTTAATTTTACATCAATTTTCTCATTTGTGAAACTGGAGTGAGAGGATCTAACCTGAGTACTGATGTGGAGGATAAATGAGATAATTTCTGTAAAGCGATCAGCACAAGGCTTGGAAGGAAAAGACAATCAATGCTAGTTATTATCAGCCCAAAGCCCCAGTTTTTTCATTTGTAAAACAGGATGACAACAACAATAACGGGACAATAATACTAATGATATCTATCTTGCCTCTGAGTTGTTTGGAGGATCAGATGAGAATATATATTATCTTTCTAAATTTCTAAAATACATCTCGCCCTCCCAACAGCAGTTGCTCTTTTTGGTCAGAACCAGAGTTAGTATTACATCGGAACATTACTATAGTTTGTTCCAATGAGTAATTAATTTTATTTCTAAACTTATCCTACAGTAAAACTGACTCTTTTTGTTGTATAAAGTTCTGTGAGTTTTAACACTTGTATAGATTTATATAACCACCACCACAACCGGAATACAGAACATGACTACAGCTTTGGAGATTCTTTTTCCAAAGTGTTTCACATTCATGTTTCAAAACACTTTTAAAAATAAGAAGAGACTTAGATAAAAGTGTCGAAGTTGCAAAGTAATGAAACTGGCTCTTTTGCACAAATCTCTGCAGCCTCCAGGACCCTCCAGCTTTTGTCTGGGCCATTTTTGCTGTTGGCTCTGCAGATTATCTTTCTATAAAGACGATCAGGCATCCATCCGAGAGTTGAGGCCTTTCCTAAAGGCACATACATGTACGAGGCACAAACTTCAGCATCCTTTATTTGATCCTTTTTATATGAGCGGATCTTAATTTTCCTCACCTTGTTTTCCCTAATTGCTATTTTCCCTCTAAAATGAAGCAGCTTGGAATAACCTTCTTACCCTTTCAGGGAAATTATTTGATTGGGAGAAAGGGGATATATATATATATATATATAATTATTGAGAGAGCAACGATGAAGTTTTCAGGACCCCAAACCTGTCCAGTACAGTAACAGATCCTTCTGGCATTAATCACTCACTCTGTCCCTTTCCCATTGTCCTCTCCGCCACCGCCTGACGGACGCCCCTTGGGACGATCGACTTTGGGACCAAACCTCTCTCCCAGGTCAGCCTCCTTCAACCCCCGCTCTCCCACCGCTAGAGCTTTCCCTGCTTTGATGACTTGCACTGACACACAGATCCACATCTGGCGAGGGGGGCGGGTCCGCTTTCCGAGTGACTCACGTCGTTGCTATTTGCCTTTTGTTTCTAGGATGCTTTGGCTGCCGTTTTCTTCCTTCTGCTTTTAATTTTGGGAGGAGAAAAACTAATGAATCAAGAATGACTCTCCTCTCCGCTAATCTTTATTATTTTTTTTTTTCTTCTTAAAGTTGTTTCTCTTTCTTCACAAGCTCCATAACTACGCAAGAAGTGCGGGGGCGGGAGACGCAGGCACGCATTAATTACACCTAAATCTAAAGTTTGCAGCCCAAGGTACCACTTTGATGGGGTGACTTTCTGAAGCTTCCTTACAACACGCTGGGCGTTCGCTGCTGCCGCTGTGATCCTCAGCTCATTTCTCTCGGCTGCAGCTTTGCGCTGTTCCGTCACCCCTAAATCTATCTTGTCACTACCAAAGGTGCCCGAATCAGGGTGAATTCCACGAGATTCACCAGCGGTTTTGTTCCCGTCCAAGGTAAATACAGCATGCAAAATGAGGAGCCACCAAAGGATGGCCGGGGAGGGGGGAGAGAAAGGGATTCCCTCTCCCTCTCCTGGCAAGTTCCTCGTTAATTTCCACCAGGAGGAGGCGCGCAGCCCGGTCCCCCTAGGGTCTCTTCTTTAACCCCCCTACGTAGGGCTGGCGAGGCTGGCCGAGCGCCGAAGTCCCTTCGGCAGTCCCGGGCCTCCCCCGGCCCCCGGGTTGGTTTTTCCCAGCTGCGGAGGTTGGGCCAGGGGCTGGGGTGCCGGGAGAGTCGGCGCCCGCCGCGCGGAGCCGGGAAGCCGTCGCGACTCCGGCGGAACTCGGAGTTAGCTCGCGAGGCGGCGGGCGCGGAGGTGAGCGGTGGGCAGCGAGCTCGCAGCCAGCGAGGGAACCCGGAGGTGGCGCTGGGGCTCCTCCCCATCCTCGGGCGGAGAGTAGCGTAGGTTCGGGTTGCCAGCCCACCCCGAGTCCCAACGCCGCTTTGTTCGCGGGCTCTCCCCTCCCCTTTGGAAAGAACCCGAACCCCTCTGGGACCCGAGGGGCTGGCGGAGCGTGGGCTGGGGGGCGACAGCTGTAGGGCCCTCCACTCCCTGCTAAAGCGAGAAGGTACCAAAGGAGATGAAAAGACGCCTGTAACCTGAAACTTCCCTCTCTTCCCGAGCCGGACCCGGAGGAGAGGTCTGGGAGTGGGCAGGGACCCCGGGAGGCAGGTCGTCTGCGGAGGCGGTGGGGGAAAGGAGCTGGAAGACGGAGAAGTTTGGTCGGGGAGGCGCTGGGAATTGAGTGAGAAGTTACACGCGGGAGACGAGTCTGATGGGGAAAGGAGGAGGGCGGGCGGCTGGACGGGTATATAAAGTGTGGGCCAGGGCAGAAGGAAGACTTTGCGCTCCGGTCTCAGGACGCGCGTCCCTCTCCCGGGTAAGGATGTGCGGAGGGGATGGGGGGCGACGCCGGGCGGGCTTTCGGAGGGGGGTCTCCGGGACAGAGTGGAGACGACTTGGCTCGGAGAGGCCGGTTCCTGCGTTGGGGAGCCGCGGCAGCCGCTGCTCCTTACGCTTCTGTCCCACTTGTCCCAGGTCGTGCAGCGGATCCGGCGAGGGGCGCCAACAAAAGAGACGAGGAGGTGCCACCCGGGCGTCGGCAGGAAGAGGAGCGGGAGGAGGAGCGCGGAGCCGAGCGTCCCGACCCGCCGTGCGTACTTTGTGGAGGGAAGGGGCGGGGGGATCGGCCCGGGGAGGGGGACGCCCGGTGGCTAGGGGGTTAGCCAAGTTCCGGCCGCGGCGTCCCTCCTCCGCTCCCACGAGAGGAAAGTTTTCTCCAGACGCTTCCGGCCGGCTCGCGCCCTCCGGGCCCAGCCTCCCGAGCGTTGGGAGCGGGCGCCGTCCCAGCCCTGCTCCGGGGAAACGCGAGCCGCGATGCCTGGGGGGTGCTCCCGGGGCCCCGCCGCCGGAGACGGGCGGCTGCGGCTGGCGCGGCTGGCGCTGATCCTCCTGGGCTGGGTCTCCTCGTCCTCTCCCACCTCCTCGGCGTCCTCCTCCTCCACCTCCTCGGCGTCGTTCCTGGCCTCCGCCGTGTCCGCCCAGCCCCCGCTGCCCAGCCAGTGCCCCCAGCCGTGCGAGTGCTCCGAGGCGGCGCGCACCGTCAAGTGCGTTAACCGCAATCTGACCGAGGTGCCCACGGACCTGCCCCCCTACGTGCGCAACCTCTTCCTCACCGGCAACCACCTGGCCGTGCTTCCCGCCGGCGCCTTCGCCCGCCGGCCGCCGCTGGCCGAGCTGGCCGCGCTCAACCTCAGCGGCAGCCGCCTGGAGGAGGTGCGCGCCGGCGCCTTCGAGCATCTGCCCAGCCTGCGCCAGCTCGACCTCAGCCACAACCCCCTGGACACCCTCAGCCCCTTCGCCTTTTCGGGCAGCAACGCCAGCGCCTCAGCCCCTAGCACCCTGGAGGAACTGATCCTGAACCACATCGTGCCTCCTGAGGACGAACGGAACAACCAGAGCTTCTTCGAACGGCACAACCAGAGCTTCGAGGGCATGGTGGCCGCGGCCCTGCGGCCGGGTCAGGCACTGCGAGGGCTCCGCCGCCTGGAGCTGGCCAGCAACCACTTCCTCTACCTGCCCCGGAATGTGCTGGCCCAACTGCCCAGCCTCAGGCACCTGGACTTGAGTAACAACTCGCTGGTGAGCCTGACCTACGTGTCCTTTCGCAACCTGACACATCTAGAAAGCCTCCACCTGGAGGACAATGCCCTCAAGGTCCTTCACAACGGCACGCTGCATGAATTGCAAGGCCTGCCCCACGTCAGGGTCTTCCTGGACAACAATCCCTGGGTCTGCGACTGCCTCATGGCGGACATGGTGGCCTGGCTCAAGGACACAGAGATAGTGCAGGGCAAAGCCAGGCTCACCTGTGCATTCCCGGAAAAAATGAGGAATCGGGTCCTCTTGCAACTCAACAGCGCTGACCTGGACTGTGACCCGATCCTTCCCCAATCCCTGCAGACTTCTTATGTCTTCCTGGGTATTGTCTTAGCCCTGATAGGCGCTATTTTCCTCCTGGTTTTGTATTTGAACCGCAAGGGGATAAAAAAGTGGATGCATAACATCAGAGATGCCTGCAGGGATCACATGGAAGGGTATCATTACAGATACGAAATCAATGCAGACCCCAGGTTAACAAACCTCAGTTCTAATTCGGATGTCTGAGAAACATTAGAGGACAGAACAAGGACAACTCTGCATGAGGTGTAGACTTAAGCTTTATCCCTTACTAGGCTTGCTCCACTTTCACCCTCCACTCTAGACACCACTGACTTTGACTGAAAGCAGTGGGGGGGATTTGCTTCCTTGTTATGTAAAGTTTCTTGGTGTGTTCTGTTAATGTAAGACGATGAACAACTGTTGAGAGGGCATAGTGTTCACTGTTCGCTCTGTTCAGAGGGCATGGTGTCATACCCTCTTCCTTTCCTTGGAGCTCCTCAACACGTGTGGAGGGATTTTTCAAGTTTCAGCATGGACGTGGACTCCCTGCTGTCTGTCTCTGTCTTAGCACAGTTCCAGGTGTAGCAAGTGTGCCCACACAGATAGCATTCAACAAAAGCTGCCTCAACTTTTTTGAGAAAAATACTTTATTCATAAATACCAGTTTTATTCTCATGTACCTAATTTGTGGAGAAAATAATTGCATCCCGTAAACTGCCTGCAGACCATAGCAAGCTCTTCAAAATAACTCCGTAGTACACAGGAGCACCTGCATCCAAGAGCATGCTTACATTTTACTGTTCTGCATATTACAAAAAGTAACTTGCAACTTCAGATAACTTCTTTGACAAAACAAATTACCTTTTTGATTGCAGTTTATATGAAACTGTACTGAAGTTTTTTTATAAACTGCATCAAGATCCAACAAACTGAATTGTTAAGAAAAATCAATAAAGATTCTTAAAAGAATTACAGTGTGCTGCTCAAGTTTGCTATTTCAAAAAAGGATTAAGGGCAATAATATTGAATGGCCTTGGTTCAGATGATAATTAAGTTAATATAGCTTGAGAATCAAGCTATAGCCATGTCTTATGTAATAGACTTTGGAGATAGTTTTGAAATAGTATATCTTTTTAGGATTTAAATAGAGAGTTTCAATATTCAAGTGGCTAGACTTCTCATGGTACCAGAATTAATATTATTTTGTAACAATTTTGTAATAGCTTTATGAAGTTGGTAAGAGTGAAGAGTTCTGTAACAATAAACAGTTCACAGTTTGGGGTTTTTTCAAAGACTAATGAAGTTATTGTTAGCACTGAACAATATTAGTACTAAAACTCTGCATGAAACTTTTCTATAGATTTCTAGAACAGAATGTGAAAAAAATGTAATGCAAATAAATGTATGAAAATGAAGTGTCTTAAAGACATAGAATATTCTGACATAAAAGCTTTAAAAATACAAATTTAAAAAATATCTCCTAAGATCATAATGTGAATTGGAACTTGAGACTATTGTAAAAAAAACATTTAAGATGGTACATGAATGGTTGATAGTTTGTCAGAGACCCAGCTAATATGTTTAAAAAGTTGACATGATTGAATAGGAACTTGAGGAAATAGCCAGAGATAATTATCTATGTCTATAAACAAGTGTCTCAACTAATTATAGGTTCTGAAATTCAGTTCAATATTTAATAATTTGAGGATATTTTGATTTTAGCTGAGCTCTGTGAAAAATAAATCACATTTAGGTATAAATAAAAATAATGATGATAAGCAGTTGATACCATCGATAATAGACAAGGTTTTGTTTTTTTTCCCCAGAGTTTATTATCTGCCAGTTAAGCTGAAAAGTAAATTCTATTAATCAACCTACAAGCTATTAGTTTAAGCGACTTAAATTTAGCCACTACAGTTTAACTTAAAGTAGTAGGTAAACTTGCATCTGTATGTCTTAGGGCCTGCCTCCCCTTTAAACTAGTTATGTTCTGCAGTGCTTTATATCTGAAATCAAATGCACATTTCCATATTTTTATAAATAAAGTAGGATTAGATAGTACTTTAGGTTCTAGAAATCTTTGCTGATTCCTTTGAATTAAGTTCAGAAGTTTTCAAAATAGGGCTGGAAATATGTAAATCTGTTCCTTTTATAGATAAGATTATACAGTCAGAATAAGAAGCTTTAATTCCTTAAATATCATAAGGTTCATTTTATGAAATATAGTATTCATTATTTATGGGTTATATCTCAGATCCTATAATTACTTGAGAAAAAGCCTAAATATTTGGCACTTAATATTCCATTAAACATTTCAAGTGTTCACTGGGAATTCATAAACTGGCTGGCTGCCATTATTTCCTAAAAACGGTGAGATACTAGTCTGCCAAAAACAGTGAAAACATTTAGTAAATAATAACACGCTATCTTAGTAAACCACTGAGGACTTTGGTAAGTCTGCTGATATTGTAGAAAACAAATTATAATACTGATAGAACCTCTGTTTAGAAGGATTGTTCCTTCATCACGTGATAATCTAACAGTTAAAAATTGAGCTTTATCTAAGATCCAGGAAAGCAGTGGATTCATTAGTCTAGCCCTTCTCAACTCCCTGAAGCAATGATGAAGCTGTGATGAAGTGAAGCAGTTTTTGCCAGTTAGGTGTTTGGTTTCTTTGAAGTTACAATTCCTTGCTTCTTTTTTATCCCGATGCTTCTTTCTTTGTGTGGACTTCCCAATTTGCCACTGCTTTGTTTTCTATGACATCACTTCTTGCCATTCTCCAAAATACGGCCATAGAAAATTCTTCAGGTAAAAAATAGTAATTGTTTGACAACTAATTAATATTGTGTAGTCCTAATACTCTCAGTCTGTAAGCCTATAAGACAGTCTAAGTTCCTTGGAAGATAGATGCCATATAAATCCAATAAGTATAAGGGAATATATGAAAATGAAATAAAAATATAACTTTATTTAAAAATAAAACAAGTCTACTTGTTTTAAACACTGTTCTTTAGAATCATGATGCATTATTGATCCTAGAAATTGAGAAGCATCCATTTTAAAAAATTTATTTGGGTTAGTAATATAGTTTATTACTGAGCTTAAAATTTTCAGCAGAAAACATCATTTATCCTTTACAAGTTTCATTTAAAGAAAGCCAGAAAAAATACTTAAAAATTAAAACACTTGATAAATCCCTCAACTTAAAAGGCTATTAAAATGACCAATTAATTTTCTATTTAAAGTAGCACAGACTTTAGGATAATTTGACTATTTGACTCTGAATTGTGTCTCACGCACTTTTATAGTAACCATTTAGTTTGCAGCATTAGCTCTTATAATATCAATTTTGCTGCCACAAGTGTGATTCAGTGGTGACTTATAAGGTAAATTTGTACAGGAGCTGATTGATTTTTCTTATAAAATAAGGAAAACTTGAAGCACATTTGATCAAGGTTTTTAAAGGAAACAGAGTAGGGGTCGGGTGGAAGGCTAAGTTGAAAATAAATGAGCAAATCACAAATAGTAAATCCTTTTAAACTATCTTGATCGGCAGCAAATATGGATTATGCTCATCTCAATATTTAATTAGAAATAACTTATATCTTTGTTTTCTCTCTTTAATTAAAGTAGCTATAAAAAAGAAGGTCCAAATGAACTGAAATTGTTTCTTAAGAATTCTGTTTTACCCTTTCCCTTTGGTCTAATGTTCTAATATGGGACTTACCTTGTTGAGGACGTGAGAGGCTTTGCAACTCTAGTTTGCAAATCTTTCATATCATTTCTGCTTTCCATTTTAATTTTTCTCCCAAGACTACACTAAAGGGGACACCATAAGGACTAAAAACACCATGAAGTTTAGAAACAATTTTGCACATGCTTTTTTCGGCTCCCAAATCCAGTCATCCAGCCTTCAGAGAAGAACCATGAAGTGAAGACAGACATTTATTAGATGAAATTGAGGTTTAACTTTTACACTTATGCAAGGATTTTTAACAGTAGAGGAGAAGAAAGGGAGCAAGATACATTTCTAGATAATATATGAAAATTACCTTGACAACGTCTTTTAAAAACCTTTTAGCAATACTGCAGTGCTGCACTAGAAATAATTAGTTTAAGAAAATATATTCTGTGTTGTCCGGACGATCCTATCTTCTTTTAGTTGGGGAAAAACAGCTTCTTGAGGATGTTTCGTACAGTTATTTTTCCATTCATACATTTTTTTTTTTTTTTTTTGAGACAGAGTCTCACTTTGTTGCCCAGGCTAGAGTGAGTGCCGTGGCATCAGCCTAGCTCACAGCAACCTCAAACTCCTGGACTCAAGAGATCCTACTGCCTCAGCCACCCAAGTAGCTGGGACTACATGCATGCGCCACCATGCCCTGCTAATTTTTTTTTTTTTTATGTATGTCTATTTTTAGTTGGTCAATTAATTTCTTTCTATTTTTAGTAGAGACGGGATCTCGCTCAGGCTGGTTTTGAACTCCTGACCTTGAGCAATCCTGCCTCGGCCTCCCAGAGTGCTAGGATTACAGGCGTGAGCCACCACGCCTGGCCTTATCCATACACTTTTGATTCAAAAAGTTAGGCTTGTTTTATTTTAGAAATTTATAGCATCTCTACCCTTGTCGTGGGTTAAAAAAATCTAGATTTTAAAAAATGTTTACTATATCATTTATATAATTTTGACAAGAGCAGAATTCTTAGTATTTCAAAATTGGAAGGGCTTGTAAACTTGTCCAGCCCAGTCTCCCATTCTACAAATGGAGAAACTGATAATTGGGACTTATTATATTATATAATGACAGCAGGATGACATCCCAGGGTACTAGATTATCCATCTAGTGCTCTTTTTGCCAGGTGATGGCATTACTAATTGTCTACCTTGAAGCTTTGAAATCCTCATGTCTAATAAAAAAAGGCAATTACTTGGGTGAATGCATTTATTTTATTGTTTGTGCTTTGAGTGAATGTTTCAGTTTGCTCTAGATTTCACTTCCAGTTTGTTAAAAATTACTGTTTCAAACCCCTGAATATACCTAAATGTTTTTGAAGTGATTTTTTTTCATAGCAGTCGTGTTACTGTGAAGTTCCTCTGAGTCTATGACATGATAGGAAATATTTTGGAAATTTAATGGTGATTTTGAAAAGAAAAATAAAAACTCTGGAATGCTGTGCTAACTCGTATAATTCTACCTTAAAGATGACTTAGCTCAGCTGGTGAGCAAACTAAACAAACGTGCCCAAGTTTGTGGCCATGAAGTTAGTCACCAGGTGAGACAGTCAGCTTTGCATTCTCTGCTGTTCTCCCAGCTCACGCCCACTCCAGGTGCACCCTACCATCCTCCAGGGGCCTGGCCAAACAGGGAAGGTAAATCAATGCAAATCCGTTATCACCCTGGAACTGCTGATGTGCCAGTTTACTGTCTTCTCATATGCAGGTCCGCACATGATAGTCCCAATTTCCTCATGTTATAGTATTTATGCCACAGATTGCAAAAGTTTTAACATTTATATGATTTTTCAGAAAAATCTAGCATGGGTCCCTTTTAATGTATCACAAGGGAAACAAATTAGGTTTGCATTATCATTTAAAATGAAAACGTGATTTAAAATCAAGGATCATGATCACTATATCACAAACTTACATGTAAATGTTCATAAAAACAGAAATGCAGTTTATGTTTAGCTGACAGTTTATAATAGGACTTATCTGTAGTTCAGTTTAACTAGGTTCATTTAAGGAAATATTTGTTCTCAAGTAAGCAAAAGCTTAAAATATGATCACCTATAATACTTTTTGTGAAAAGTCAATATTTAATAATATGTTTTAAATAACTGAAAGATGTTATCAAGATAGGCCTTAAAAAAAAAAGGAAGTTTATAGACTTCCCTAACCCCCTTTTCCCTTATAGTCCTACTTCTACTTTTATTTTCTTCCTCCAAAGAAAACTATGATAAAGAAC